GAGAGTTTTTGTTTTATTCTCATCTAAAAACAGAGGGATGATAGCTCATATATGAGACTTCAAAGGTCTTTTATTTTGAAACTCTTTAGTTTCAAAACATACATTTACATTCACTCAGTTATAATGTGGTAGTTATACGTAGTTTTTCTTACATTATTATTGATCACATTAGGCCTATATAGTAAATATTTTAATATGTTTGGTATAATTGTTATTGGCCGAGTAAGCACTTTTATTTAGAAGGCAGTTTTTCGAGGCTGCTACCGTAATGCATAGGATATTCACGCACCGCAAAACAACGCGGATGCTGGCTTGACTCTGTTTTCCGAAGTGGAGGCTGGCTTGACCCATAGACTGTATATAAACCTTGACCGCAGTTAGTCGTCGGGCAGTCGCTGCTGACTTCACCTGCTGCCCCATACTGTAGATATGTGCTGCCCTACCTGACCAGACTCAACGCTGTGTGTGTCCGTCATGTAGTTCATGCAAACATCCACTGATAAATTGCGATGTTTAACAACCTCATGATAACCTTATATTTGTTCTTTACTTAGGATCGTATACCTATTTAGTCTAGAAAAAGGTAAATTGTGTGCATTTTATTGTAAAGTTGTGTATATTTACAGATTGTTGCAAAAACTAAGAAGCTTATAAAAATCAGGTTTAAAACCAAAATAGCTTTACAGAAAAGTAACACAATTAAAGATGTTTGGAGTTTTATTTTAGTTATTCATTTTTAATGTTTTTTCTAAAGAGATGCTGATTTGAAACCGTTGTTACATACAGTTACGGCATTTCCTGTTTCTGCCGGAGAGGGGGAGAGTTTGTCCCAAAGCTTGCCGCTGTATTTACTCTCTCCATCTGACAGGGGGAGCCTCGTTGAGCTGCGAGTGTGTTGGGGTAGGGTGTATGGCGTGGTTTGGGATTGGGCCATCCTGAATCCAATCATTCGAAGTCGGCGGCTACAGGAAGAGGAAGAACTCGGCTGAGATCATGTTGATCGCCTTGCTTTGCGGAGCTGTCGTGTTTCCAGGACTTTTCTTTAGCTTCAGGAAAGGACTGAGAGACACGTTCACACACTGGAGTGAAGCCGATGTAGTTTGCGTCAGTGAGAGGTCAGCACACACACCGAACTCCATTAAGACATGTTTTTGCTTATATATCAATATAAAATGCGTTATGGAGATTTACTAACTGTTTGTTATTAGTTTATATAAAGAGCTTGTGAATTCGGCACGGATTTAAAATAATCATACTTTTCTTACAATACACAGGCTACACATGTTGTTATGAACCGTATGACAAGTTAGAATTTTCGCAATTATTCGGTCTTATGTGTGTATTATGTTGGCCGAATATATCACATTCAACCTCAGAAAGGAATAAGTACTAAATACATTTTTACTTAGGCCTATGTATGCATTTTGCCAAAAAGCAAGAAATCTATTAAATTCGCATGCATTTCAATCGAGTGTAGTGTAATTGTCCCCAAGCCATGTGTTTGCTGTTTCTTTTTTTCTGCATAAGACTAGAAAAGTAGAATTTATTATTTTAAATGTTTCTTCAGGCTGGTTTCTGCCATCCATGCATCTCTGGCTACTGCAGCTGGAGTCACAGTGGTGGCATCCTGCAATGACGTCATGACTGACAGGTAGGAGAGTCATGTTTGAATTAATATGATTTCAATATATTTTTTAAATGCAGTTTGTATCACCATTAATATAATTTACACTGCTGCAATTAAATTAATTTAACCAGTATCGGTTTTTGTCGCCAAACAAAATCAAGTTGGTCTGTGTCTTTTTATGTTAGATTTAAGGTTTGCATAACACTGTTATTTAAGTGCAGATGCTCTCTGTGTCACCATGCAGTCACTGGCTGGTCAACTGGTTTGTTTTGTTTGGAGCTCCCTATATGGCCTGTGACATCTTTGCCATGTATCTGAGCCACTACCACACTCAGAGGCTCAGAGGTCATTCCAGCTCATTGAGCGGCCACTCTCTTCAGACGGTGAAGGCCTTCCTCAGCAAGGACAGGATGTTGGTCCTCCATCACCTGGCGCTGCTACTCATTTTTATGCCCATCACTCTGGTGAGTCTGCAGGAGGAATCCCTGACGTAGTGTGTTTGACCAGTTTGGTACAAACACTGATTCCTGTGTCTCATCTGATCTGCAGTTCTTCAGGAGGGGACTGGGGGATTTCTTCATCGGCTGCTTGTTCACCACAGAGTTCAGCACACCTTTCGTCTCTGTCGGAAAGATTCTCATCCAGGTAAACTATTTAGACATCCAAACATTTTAGCCATATTTAGCAGTATTTCTACAATCAAACTATAGATCGCGGGGAGATTTCCAGTCGATCGCGAGATGTGTCTAAAAATAGAACAACAATACTCTGTTTTATCGTTAATGTCCTATAACATAATCTTCCTGTGCCAGAATAATGCACTTGAACGCATCAAAGCTTTGTGATTGGCCGGCGTGACCCCAT